GGAAGACATGGAGGCAGTGACAGATTTTACTCTCTTGGGCTCCATGAACTTTGCAGATGGTGACAGCAACCAAGAAATTAAAAGACACCTGCTTCTTGGGAGGAAAGCAATGAGAAACCTCGACAGCATCTTAAAAAAACAGAGACGTCACCTTGCCGATAAATGTCCGAATAGTCAAAGCTATGATTTTTCCAATAGCGATATATGGATGTGTGAGCTGGACCATAAAGGCTGACCACCGAAGAACTGACGCTTTTGAATTGTGCTGCTGGAGGAGACTCTTGAGAGTCCCCTGGACTGCAAGGAGAACAAACCTATCCATTTTGAAGGAAATAAACCCTGAGTACTCACTGGAAGGACAGATCCTGAAGCTGAGGCTCCATTACTTTGGCCATCTCACAAGAAACGAAGACTCCCTGGTAAAGACCCTGATGTTGGGAAAATGTGAGGGCAAGAGGAGAAGAGGACAACAGAGGACGAGATGGATGGACAGTGTCATTGAAACTACCAACATGAATTTGACCCAGCTCTGGGAGGCAGTGGAAAACAGGAGGGCCTGGCATGCTCTGGTCCATGGGGTTACGAAGAATCGGACACAACTTAACGACAAAACAATAACAACAAATGATAGAACTTTTCAAAGGACATTAATTCATAGGCTAGTTATAATTTGGAAATGATTTGTTGGGACGTAATAACACTTGCACTCCATGAGAGGTAGCCTTCACTAGTGGTAGACTTCTTCCTGCTGCTGAAATTTTTGTGAACAAAAGTAAGCCTCCATAGGATTGTAGAACCCTGCATGAGAGAAAGAACGGAATATAGCTTGCTTCCTTCAGCAACACTGATCCTCTTGAGAGCTCATTGGAAAAATCTACTTTTGCCTATGCTAGCTCTGGGGGTGTTGTCTAATGTTTGAGGTAAGAAAACTGGTATAACTCAGTGGGTTTGAAGGCCTAGCTGCATTTGAATCCCTGCAGTGCCTCCTGGATTAGGACCAGCCAAGATCATGAAAAGTATATGTAACTATGGGCACATAGCACAGTTTAGAGCACAGCCAGGAGTGACTGGTAAACCACTTCTGAGTACTGTAGACCAGTGCTCCTCAACCTTGTGCCTCCAGATGTTCTTGGACTACAACTCCCA